TAGTTTAGGACTACATGCAAAATAGTATAAGAATGTATATACTGATTCATTGCTTTTTATGGGAAATAAATTCAACTGCACCCATGTGCTTCAAATCAAATATACGTCACAGTTCATTCTTGAGATTGGCATTTTCCTTACATGGTTTCAGTATTACAGCATACATTATGCATCAAAACAAATGCAATCTTAGGAGCATCTATTTGCATTAAATAAAAATAAAAGGTTATTGAGTGAAAAGTAATCCATCTAATACACATTTAAAGGTATAAAACAGCCATGAATAAAAACACAAAACTTGCTATCTTTACATTCCTGTTCCAAATCAAGAAGAAACAATAAAATAGTTATCCTTGGCAGAAAAAAGTGATTTTCAATTAAAAACATCAGTGATTGAATACATGAAAATATTCAAAACAATTTTCTGGTGTGTTGCTATACTACACAATAGTTCTCAGACACAGGCTTCACCTTTAGACTCAAAGTTTACTTCCTCTCTACAATGCACCAAAATTCCTCCATAAAAATATCTCATATCCCCCAACACAAACAGAACATTTCTATAAGAAGATTAAGCAAATCTTCCCACTGATCTTAATCGCTTAACCTCAAACCCCAATCCATTACATACCTGCTTACACCCGTTTCACCAGATGCAGAAATTGTCATCCCTACATTTCTCATGATACATTACCCATGTGAGTTTACAAGAGAATACTTTTTTTTTTAACAGACCAATTTTCAAATTCATACATAATTCTCTTCACACTGCCAAAAATAAATAAAAATATATTTTACATTTCCTTTAGCCAAAACACATTTTTGTGTCTGGCCAAAAGTTTGACATGCTGACATGAACCAAGCATACCTCTGTAGCCTAAGGAGCTAATAGGTGGAGTGAAGATAAGGCGCAGTACAGCTTAGTTTATTATTTTATTCTTTTCATGGTACAAATTGTCACCTTTTCAAGTTAATTGCAGAAAGCCGAGTTTCAAGCCTATCTCCAGTGAAATCTCATCCTCTTTCAGATAATATACACAGGTTGACACCTAGCGTTAAATTGAGACATTGTCACAAAGATAGTCCCTTGACTGTTCATTTGACACAGTAGCAGTGCCCCTTGCTGCATAAGAAGTACTTCTGCTATTCAGCAAGTTCATCATTCAACAAAGTTACAAATTACACACAACACACTATATTTTCAACTCACTGCTCTGCTGAGTGGGAAGTGAAATACATAGGTTTTAAATTCAAACCCACAACAAAGTACTGGGAATAAATCATGGGGTGCCCTTACTTCCAGACATGCATAGATCTTGATGTAGTAATCAAGTGGTGACATCTTTAAAATTAAAGTGACATAGTACCACACCCCAACCACCAGTACAAAGGCACTTTTTTTCTTTCAAATTAACAAGTCTAGGGTACCCAATGTCTAATTCCTAAAATAATGCCATCTCTTCACATCAAAATCAAAACCATTATTTTGTAATGGAGATGAAAAACATGCACACACCTGTGTACATGAACATTTTTTTTTTTTTTTGGGGGGGGGAGGGAGATGTCAATCTTATATTGTATTGATGCAGACATTTCTGAAGTACAGTATTTCACACTAGTTTATTTGTGGGTTCAAATAATGCACTTAAAGGGATAACAACTCTTCAAATATGATTTAAAATTCAACAATAAAAACATTGTAAACAACACATGGAAATATTATCAATTCCACCAAAATGGCAGTTATCCAAATTAAGAAACCTATGCTTGCTAGCGGATACCATGAGAGAACTTGGTTTTATTTATGAATATTTCCTTCTAGTGGACAATACGTGTGAATATGGAAATTGCCTTTGGCAGAGAATCTCCTCAGCACGTCAAAGTGTAATGTTCTTCAATATTTACACTATGGTCTACATAGCTGCTACTTTTAATGCATTGAGAAAAAGATGCTTCTCTTTTCAAAAAGTTATCCACATAATTCTGAAATGATGAGATATAAAACAGTGCAGAAGTTTAACTAAGTTTTAATTGATGGAAAAAAGTTATTGCACCCTGTTTACATTCAAATCAACGAAAAAGTTGCAGAGATATGTGATGGTTCTGCTATTTTTTGCTAATAAAATTGTTTAATGGGTCTTAGACTATGTGTTATATTAGAAATCTTCATAAGTATACTGTTCAAAAAAAATCTCCTTTATATGCATTAAGGAGCACAAAATATTGAAGTATTCAGACATCTGCACTCATTAAGTGTGTTGGCAAGCTGTTCCAACAATCATTAAGTTTTGGATGCACAATTACACTAAGTTTTTGAAATCATACATACAGTTACACCCATGGTCATTAATAAGAGATGGCATTTATGAGAGAGTTATCAAGTTTATTATTAAGAGTTTAACTGCACACACACACACACACACACACACACACACACACACACACACACACACACATTATAAAACTATTTCAAACTTCAAACAATTCATTGTAAAAGCCTTCTTTCCACTAATGCTCAAATAGCCTTTGAATGTTCCTACAGCAGCAATGATTGAATTTCATTTTTTTCTAAACCACAAACACATACACATATGCATGCAAACACATACAGGATAGAGCTGTCAGTTTTCTCACAAGCCACGCCTTACCATAGACATTAAGACTCAGGAAAACAACCTGGGACCAACATAAGGTAGACACCAATGAACATACACATGTAATCACATAATTATGAACATGCTTAAGTCATCTTTGAAGGCATTAACATGCACCTTATATACATTGTACTGACACAAAACATTTAAACCTAGTTTCCTTTGCTGTAAGGTTACCGAGTGGCAAGTGCTATGCCTCAAGTCTCCCATAACATGTGAAAAAAAAGACATTATAATGACATTTTAAACCGTAAGATGCTTGCCATTATGATTGATGTCACAGTATACATGTCATCTGAAACTAATGCCAAAGAGAGTGATATATTCACAATGTGTTCTCACACACTACCCATGTCTTATACACAAATATAGGATTACAAATTGTTCCATTGCTTACCTGTCTTCATTTTACTTTACATCACAAAGATATTCTACTCACCTTGAAAATGTAAAATTTAGTTTTCACTAATCACTGACAGCAGATTTGGACATTTACACCTGCATTCAAGCTGAAATAAGTGAGGAATGCAATGCATCAGGGGGATAATTGACTGGTTTTAAGTAATCCGGCAGAGTATATAATGCGCTCTCTTTACAACTTACATAACCTAATAAAATAAGGCTGGAAATAACTGACTGATGAAATATTAAAATAGTAATCAATATCCCGTTATCTGGATGCAATGTTTTATTCTTCTTATCACTCCACAGTCATAATTTTCTCTTCTCTTTTGTGATTTATAAAGAGCAAGTAGATTAAATGAAAGAGGAAAATCCATCATTAATCATGGTTGCCTTAGAACATGATCAAATAATACAGATTGTTCTTATCTTATAGGAGGGAAAACTGGGTTTCAAATGTCAATTGTGCACACTAAATAGAAAAGTAATCATGCTGACAAAAAAAAAAAAATTTTTCAGATGAATAATACGGATACACAGACAATAATGGCAAACTAAAATCCAAAATGCAAGGACTTTATGAAACAGGATGGCTTCTTTCCTCTCTGATGACAAGAACAATGCCTGCATGTTTCAGAATTGATCAAAAGAATATCATCTTACTCAATTTTTATTCATTTAGTGCAAAAGCCTGCAGCTTGTTAATTGCCTTGGCCTTTGTTATGCATAAATGGAAATTTGAGTAAAAATAGGTCTGTGAGCTTACAGAGAGTTTGTCATTACAGCTTTTTTGAGATACTCTGTACTGCGAATTATCAAACTAAAATTACATAGACATACTATTTGGCGTGTTACAAAGAATACAATTAGAATTCTCATTTGGAGAATCACAGACAAAATGTATTACATATCATGCACAAATTTGTGGTGGGTAGAGCTGCATAAAACTGCATTTAGCCTTATATGTTCTCTCATTAATTTTTTTTCAAAACCTTTAAATTCCAAAGGATATGGAATTAAAACTATTTTTAACAACCTTGTGACGCACGTTATACTAAGTAGCTATGAAGTGGCTTAGTTCTAATGGAAATGCAAAAACTGGATTCTTTATTGGTTCAATTGGAAATGGTATTAAGGCCGGTATAATGTCATTTCCCTCTGAGGTCAAAATACAAAGATAATATGTACAATATAGAATGTACAGATTGTTAAGATGATCAAACATGTGGAGAAAACAGCACGCTTTTAAAATATCTCTTGGTCCTACTAAATATTGAGTACTATATATGGTATGCTTGCACAGCCAACAACTTTTCTTAGAATGCATATGTACCCCATAGTTTGTTTTCCTGTCACAAATCAATAAGCTTTTCATAAGCTTGTATCAAATTAAAATAGGTATGAAATAGTTTGAAATCTGAATTAGACAAGCAAGGTCAAAATTCAGCTTTTCCTGAAAATCATAAATTAATATAATCTATGAAAGAAAAGTAGTAGATGGCACATGTAGATGGTACATATATATAATGCTCTGAAAAGAATTAATAGTGTAACTCTAAAAACACTAATTCTACACTTCAATTTATTATATGAATACATTAAAATTACTCAGTAATTTTAATAAACACACTGAAGGGATATAATACTAATTATGAAAAGAATAGTTAAACAAACTTAGTAAGACAATTTAGTTTCCAAATTTGTTAGACATATCATATAGCTTCATCAACTCACCTGCTAGTCCTGCTAGTACTGCCTGGTACCTTGACTCTATTATCACAGTGAGTGGGACGGTTTCCTGAAGAGAAAATGACAACTGAGTTCAATACATTATGTATGAAATCATCAGATCCCAGCAAAGCACATAATAACAGAGAATCTTGGGATCAGCTGAGTAAATCAGATTCACAACCACTGTGGAATCTGGAGTTATGTTCATCCAATTCATAGATACAGATACAAAACTGAGTTCTGGACTTTAAAAGCTGCATGGAGAAAGTAAAAAAAAATGTGCACAATATTGAAATTGGTTAATAAGGTAGTAGTTTGAGAGACCTCTAATAACTTCATAATAACATTTGTAAACTTTATTCATACTTGCATGCATTTTGTACACTGTTAGGTGCTAGTGTTAGACTTACAAACAAACTAATAAACAACTACTTGAAACTTTATATTATTTGTTACTCAAGTCACTCTGTATAAGCATATTTTGTTGTATTTATATCAATTAGCAAAAATGAAATATTCGAAAATTTTAACATATAAATAAATAAATCCTCTTTCATTTTCTACATGCAAATTTTCACATTTTTCAGCAAATTGAAAAAAAATAAATATATATAACCAAATGGTAACCAAAATCCAGCCTTACCTTCAGATCATATAGAGCACTGTTTCTACCTAACCAGCATAAGGTTCAACTGATTAATCTATACTGGCAGCATAATTTCAATGTGTGCCTGCTCAGCAGAGATATTATTGATGCCCATATTCTATCCCTGGTTGTTATTGAAAAGGGAATTGTTTTTCAAGAGCAATTTCTACCCATCATTCATTCCAATCAGAAGAGTACATGAAACTTATGAGCTATATTCCCCTACACAATAAGTGTCATAACAATGAGAAGCTGAGTGTATTATCATGTTATCTGTTTGCCTTTGTAATAAGTGATCTGCTACAAAAAAAGTCACAAAACCAATACCAGGACAATGCTACATTAACAGAATGTCAATTTTTTATTGATGAGTATGTTTGTGCAGTAATATTCATTACTGTGCTAGCTTTGTTTTTTTTCCACTTTATTAGACTGAATCCAAAAAAAAAAAAGTACATGGAACCTAGGACCTCTTAAAGTATAATCAAGCTTATGTCTGCACAGCCTTATGCCAGTTATGAGCAGAGCACCACATCCTAGCTAATGTTAAGAAAATAACACTCTTCTGATAACAATTTCTTACACACATCATTATAACAGATAGAATGATGACATCACTGATATCAAATCAGATTCCATCCTTCTGGGACTAATGTGAAAGGTACCTAAGGGAATGTGCCTTACCCATGGAATAGAACTGCATCAAGACCACACAGGTGTATCTAAAATGTCAATTGGGAGATAAATGACTGACTACACCTTCATTTTTTAATATGACAAACCAACTACTCTAGCTGTCAATTACTTTCTAAATTGCCAGGAATTATCATTTAAGACAATAACAATTCAATAAGCTACAAGATATGTGTCCAGGCATGCAAAATGATTATTCAGAGCCCAAAACACATCACAAATGCAGCTGGATCAACTAACTGAAGTAGAAACCAAAATAGCATCATTTTTAGCTTCATTTCCAATACAAATATTTTACATTCATGGAGGCAAATCCAGCAACATTTATTTAAAACAATTTGCAAGAGGTCAACATTACAAAA